GAGGGGAGCTGTTGCACTGTAAACTGTGGTCAATGACATAAGACAAAGTATATGTGAACTGCTGTATGGAAAGTGAATTCGCTCTGTAAATCTTCACCCAAATCACAATAAAAAAAAATAAAATTAAAAAAAAAAAAAAAAATGTCCAGTGATATGGCAGAACTGACAAGAGGCAAGGTCACAGTGACTTCTTGGCCACAGCCAGCTACCCAGAGGGAGCAAGTAGTTGGACCTGTGGGCTCAGGACCATGATCACAGGGGACATCAGGTTCAATTGGCATAATGTACTACACAAAAACATTGTTCCACATCCTACTTTGGCGAGTAACGATGGGGATCTTAAAAGCTTGCAGGCAGCCATCTAGATGCAACAATGGGTCTTTCCTCATCCACAGCAAAGAACGATGAAGAAAACTAAAGCAGCATGGAAACAATTAGTCCAAGGGACTGGTAGACCGTGCAATACTCAGCCATATGACCATGAGACAAGAAGAACTAGATGGTGCCTGGCTACCACTGCAAACCACTTGGAGCGGGATATATGTAAAGCATTGTGGATAGAGTGGGAGAACAATGTGGAACAAAACTCAAAATCGTTAGGAAAAAAAAAAAAAGGGAACAGGTTTGCTGGTCTGAAACTATGGCTCCTAGCTACCCATCAAGTCTAGAATTGAACCCTCTCCTGTGGCTTCCAGCCAAATAACAGACAGGCATATGGGCTGAACACTTACATTAGGCAGATACACTACTTGGAGTGAGCAGTCATTGGAGAACATAAGGACAGTGTACGCACAGGGAGACAGCACAGGGGGCAGGAGTAGACGGGCGGAAAGGACACAGGGAAGAGGTAACTAGAGGGATTACAGGGAAAGGACACAGGGAAGAGGTAACTACAGGGAGGAAGTGGGAAGAGAGCTGTGACATTATGGGAAATTGCAGTCAATGTCATGAGACAAAATACGTATCAACTGTTGTGTGGAAAATGAATTTGCTCTGTAAACTTTCACTCGAATCACAATAAATATTAAAAAAAAAAAAAAAAGCTACAGGGAACCAAACTATGGTACATATACATAATGGAATACTATGCAACCCTAAAGAATAATGTAGAATCTGCAAAACACCGCGTAACATGGATGAACTTGGAGGACATTATGCTGAGTAAAATAAGTCTATCACAGAAGAACAACTATTGTATTAGTCTGTTACTGTAAAAGTCAAGGAATGGTTTATATCTGGAAGGAAATTTACTTTGTTTGAGGTGGGAGGGGAGAGAGGGAACACTGTTAGATAGGTAGAGATAAGTATTGATTTGGGTGAAGAGAAGGGCAATGTACCAAATGTGAGTGATCAACATGGTGGCACTGAGGAAGAGGAAGACAGAGAGGTACAGACAACAAAGATGAACATTTTTGCACATACAGTCTTGTGCTGTCAGTGAAAGCAAATATGGGTATATGGGTGGATAGATGAGTGGACAGGCTGAACTATTAGGTATGTCTATACAGCAGGGATTGTACCCAAGACCGTGAATAGGGTTGATAGACAATGGTTCTACAAGTGTATTTGTATGTTCTGTAAGAATTCCTAGGGGTACAGTAGAGCTGACAAGGGACAAGGTTGAGTCACTTCTAGATCACAGGCAGCTACCCAGAGGAAGTGAGTAGTTGAACCTGTGGGCTCGGGACCATAGTCGTAGGGGACATTAAGCTTAATTGGCATAACACACTACATAATACATTGTTCCACCTCCTACTTTGGTGAGTAGCAACTGGGATCTTAAAAGCTTGCAAGCAGCCATCTAGATACAATGATGGGTCTCTCCTCGTCCAGAGCAAAGAAGAATGAAGAAAACCAAAGATTCATGGAAACAATTAGTCCTTGCAACTGGTACACCATGCGATCCTCAGCCTATACAACTATGAGACCAGAAGAACTAGATGGCACCTAGCTACCACTGTCAAACACTTGGAGGGGGATCTATGTAGGAGATCCTGGATAGAGAGGGAGAACAATGTAGAACAAAACTCAAAATCATTTGGGAAAAAAAAAAGGGGGGGGACCAGGCTTGCTTGTCAGATAGAGCCTGGTGGAACCACTGAGACTATGGTCCCTAGTTGCCCTTCAGGTCTGGAAATGACCCCACTCCTGTGGCTTCCAGCCAAAAAAAGGCAGGCATATGAGTTTAACATGTACCTGAGATAGACACAATCTTTGGGGAGAACAATCATGGGAGAAAGAAGGGCTGTTTATGCATAGGGAGACAGTTCAGGGGGCAGGAGTGCACGGAGGGATGGACACAGGGAAGGGGTAAACTATCGGGAGGAAGTGGGAGGGGAGCTGTTGCATTGGGGTAAATTGTAGTCAATGTCATGAGACAACGTGTGTGTGAACTGCTGTATGGAAAGTGAATTTGCTCTGTAAACTTTCACCCAAATCACAATTAAAAAAAAAAAAAAAAAAGGCTACAGGGGAAAAAGTGCTCTTGTTGGGACAGATTAGACATAAACAGGGGTCTTAAGCTGGTGAGGTAGAAAAGAATATTCCTTCCTTTCAATATATGCTTTACTTTTCTCCTCTTGTTTTCCTTTGCATTCTGTCTCTGCTTATTGCCTTCTTAATTGCTTCTTCTCATTTACTTCTATTATCTCAGTTTCCTAACTCACCCTTCCCCACTTTTCCCTTTGGCTAAGAGGCTTTCATCCTACATCTTTTCTTAGAGCACACTGAGTGAGCTGGATAGGAATCACACATGGAAAATATATTCCCTGAATCATAGATTCCTAAAACATTTAACCTACAAAGGTAGATGGATAGCAGAGTCCAACAGTCATATGTTGCACATGGGAAAATTAGGGTGCAGAGAAAGAGAACAATCATGGTTATAGAGAAGATTTTCGGCTGAGCTGGAAGTTAAGCCTGGGAACCACTTGGACAGGTTCCCTAACTGTCCCTTTTTCAACACACAGAGCCCACTAGTTGGAGAGAGAATTATGCTGCATCCAATTAAAATTTGAGAACAGAGTAAGAGAAATTATCTATGGTCTACTACCAACAAGAGGTATCAAGTAGTTATGAACTAGCCAGGTGGTTTTGTGGTACGATCTGCATAGAAAGAAAATCCTAACAGGCAAAATTTTTAAGAGGCAACTTCTATCTTGCTGATTGTGGATTATTTTAAATGTACCAGCACTTCTCCACAGGCTGCAATGTTATGTTCTAGGGAGAGACTGCCCAAATGATCAGACAAGAGGTCACATTGAGGATGGAAAACAGCAGCAAATAAAACGTACCTTTAAAAACATACTTGCATTTCAGGAAATAGCCAAAAATTATGTCCATTTTTATAGGGTTCCCCTTGGTACCAAAGACCTTCAGAAATTTTAGAGCATTAGATGTTGACAACCACCACCAAAACAAGAGGTGTCTCTTTCTAGATGAAAGAAACCATCATCGAAGTGAGATCAATGTTCCTTAACACAAGGAAAAGTCTCCTTTAAGAAGTGAGATGTGGAAGAAGGTACTGCCAGTGCCTGCCACATGCATCTTGGTAACTGATCCACAGGCCCAACCTTTCCTACTTACATGGAACAGTGGAAAGTGCCAACAGGGTTCTCACGACGGATGTCTTCATACTCCTCGTATATGCCCCGCTTTTGCCTAGTGTTAACATAGTCCACCAACTCTTGGATGGTCATGGCATGGGGACCTGGAACATGTACTGAGTCCCAGTCTAAGGCAGGAGGGAGGGAGAACAGGATGATCTCATCGAAGGGATCTGGATGGCCATTCACTTGGGGCAGGAACTGGAAATTCCAACTGGCGAGGTCAATTTTGACGTAGCCACCCAGGTTTTCAGGAAGGCACTCCCTGGGTAGATGCTGGGTAACCTCAGATGTCTTCAATATCTGAATCTGGAAGACCAGAAAGAATCATGTAAATATGTGTATGTAGGGGAGAGACACTCCTCCAAGGTAGTGAAGATAAAGAACTGTGCTTTTATTAGGGTTTGGGAAATGGGATGCTTGTAAAAGAAGTAGACTATATTTCATGTGTCTGGGATTGAAGTCTATGATGGTTAATGTTATGTGGGAACTTGGCTAGGCCATGAGTCTCAGGTTTGGCAGATATTATGTAATCATCTTCCTATTTTGTGATCTGACGTGAATAGCCAGTAAGTTGAAAGGAGAGTTTCCCTGGAAGCATGGTCTGCACTCAATATACATAGAAGCTCTGGTAAAGCTCACTCACTCTCGATCCTGCATCTCACTTGTCATCCTCTGACTTCAGGTTCTTGGGGCATAAGCCAGGTGCAGATTCTGGGATTCGTTAGCTCCAGCAACCCTGTGAGCCAGCAGCCTTCCACCTGATCTGCCAATTTTGGGTTCACCAGCCCCCGCAACTATATGATTCAGGAGAAGCTGCCAGCCTTATGCTTGACTCACAGATTTGAGACTGGCCAGCCTCCACAACTGTATGAACAATTCCCTTCAAATAAATCTCTCTATATGTATTTATAAATATGGTTCACCAGTTTTGCTCCTCTGGATAACCCAACCTAAGACAAAGCCCTAGGGATTCCCAGCCAAAGTCTGAATTCCCAGAATGTGTATAAGATCTACTCTTGGGATATATTATATACCTTCTGCAAGGAAGGCACAGGGAACAAAGGCTTTACAATATTAACAAGGCTTCCCAGTACCATCATATACTGCTACTCTCCTTTTAATCACTATTAACACACTATTTTTGTCAACCCCATAATAATACAGCCAATTTTAGGCCAGTTATCTTGTGTTTTATAGCTCAGTATCGATGTTCTCAATGATAGGTTTCTATGAAAGCAAGACAAGAACAGCCACCCAGAGGCAGGGTAGCCCAAGACAAATGCTAGATAAGAAATCTTAATACCCAATTCTGCTTCTGCTTGGACACAGTCATGCTACACTTAATCAGCCCACTCAGTTCTCTCTGCAATCTGTTCTCTCCAGTGTGTAGCAAGAATGCTGTTCTTCCTAAAAGCTTGTCTCTTTCACTGTCACCTCTTCCTGGAATGTCCCTCTTTACTCCTGTGTCTCTTCAAGGACCAGCTCTTGCATAAAGCCCTTTCTAACTCCCAAGGCAGTCCTCTCTTCTGTGTTTTCACACAACTGCAGCCTTCTCTGCACATATCAATCTCTGTGGTCCTGATCAGGGAAATGAGCTCCTCAAGCGTTAAGGATTATCTCAATTTTCAATCCCAGGATTCAGTGCCTGGACTGTAAAACATACTTAACATATTTTGAGTTTAAACATGCATGTATACTACCTGTAAATTCAGGTGAGAGAAACTCCTAAAGAGTCCTTTCAATTATATTAGGAAAGATCTCTCTTACTCTGAGTTATTAGGTCCCTAAGTAACTTCCATAGAACTAAATACTTCAGTTTCCCCTCTCCTTCTCAAGTTACTTCAGCTTTAAAGATTTGCATTATCACTCATATAATCTCACAATTCCATACACAAAAATTTCTGATGACAGTATTAAAAAAAAAAAAACCTTTATCATTTTATCCTGTATGTCAGTATTTTGTATGCCCTTTCTTTTAAGGGCTGCAATCAGACTTGAAACTCTTAGGGGATTATGATAGAATTAAGATAATTTTGGACAAAACTTTCTGAAGATGGGAAGCAATCAGCTGTCTTAAGGGAAAATTCCAGGGAAAAAAAGGAGAAAGAGAGAAACTCTCCTCCCTCAACTCTTGCTGTCAAAGGGACTGAATGTTATTTCCAGTTGAACAAAATCAAAGACCAGTTCAACAAATACAATTACATTAAAAAGTGTTAAATGTTAGAGGCCTGGATATCATTAGGCTAAATTCTGGAAGTAACCATTCCTAAGTTACCTATGGGACACATTAGTTGAGTATTTTCTTTATATAAGGTACTGTGGAGAGCAAAAGCCAAGTAAACCATGTCCAATTCCTAACTTCAAGGAGCTTGTAGTGCAGTGAAAAATGCAGTCTATACTGGGGTGACTAATGAGTAAAGCAGAGAATGTGAATGAAAACACTAACAGAAGTACAAAGAGCTCTAGGGGAGAAGCCAGGAGGATTTTTTGAAAAGAGAATATTGGCAGAATTTTGACAGTACTGATGGGAATGTATCCTTCCACTTCCAAATAAAATGAAGCTAGCCTGCCTTACCCTCTCTCGGACTTTATCCTTCAGTAAGAGGCTGATGATGGAGTAGGGCACTCGGAACCATATCGGTGCTCCCACTATCAGCACCTTCTTCAAACGAGCTGGGAATGCTCCCTGTGGAGAACACACATGAGAATTTAAGAATACCAGTTACTTTAGCTGTAACAGTAACCTAATGGGACCTTAACTGTTCAAGCCCATATTTTAGGTTTCCTGCTCTTCTCCCCATTCTTACCCAGCAGAGGGAGTTTACAGCCTAATTCAAGTTTTACTTCAGTAGCTAGAGAAAAGGTGATAAAAAAAAGAAACTAAAAAATTAGAAGCTGCCTACTTTTAAAAGTAATGATGTTATATCCTTGTTGACAGAAGCTTTATGACTTTTCTTAGCAGCAGTTAGGAAGCAACAGTACACATATATGCATCCTAGAAAAGTTCTGCTTATTAACTTTTCAAAGATCTTTCTAATACAGGATGAAGGAGCCCTGGTGGTATAATGGTTAAGTGCTTGGGTGCTAACCAAAAGGTCAACGGTTCATACTCACCAGCCGCTAGGGACAAAGTGGCAGTCTGCTTCCCTGCTTCCATAAAGATTACAGCTTTGGAAACCTTATGGGGCAGTTCTACTTTGTCCCATAGGGTCAGTATGAATTAGAATTGACTTGATGGCAAGGGGTTTGGTTTTTTAAATTGTTTTTAACTATAGCATCAATAAAATTGAACATGGAACACTTCTTTTTCATAACCTACCTTTCTTTTGGGAGCTCTAGTGGGGTAGTGCCTAAGGCATTTGAATGCTACAGAAGGCTGGCAGTTGAAACCCACCAGCCACTCCTCGGATGGAAGATGGGGCAATCTACTTCCGCAGTGATACTGCCTCGGAAATCCAAGGAGGGGTCGCTATGAGTCGTAGACGACTTGATGGCACACAACAACCACCTTTCTTTAATTCTGATATCCATGTATTTACACTCATTTATTTTTTCATCCATCTATTCACCTATGTAGGAGCTCTGGTAGCATAGTGGCTAAAGCACTTGACTGCTAACTAGAAGGCTGGCGGTTCAAACCCACCAGCCACTCCTTGGAAGGAAGGTTGGGCAATCCTACTTCCATAGTGATACTGCCTCGGAAACCCAAGGAGGGGTCGCTATGAGTCGGGGCCGACTCGATGGCACATAACAACAACAACATTCACGTATGTATTCATTTATTCAATTAATAAATATGATATAGGGGGCACAAGGGTAAATGAAGCCTGAAAAAAATGAGACATCTTGACCTGCACATGGCATAGGATGAAAAAATCATGCATTATCAGTCCACAGTGTTTGCTTTCATTCTGTTTTCCAATGTTCCAGCCCTTTCCATGGGCAGACTTACCATGTAATCTTGGCATTCTAACTGGGAAAAAAATAATGCCCAAGGAATTAAAAAAGAAGAAGAAGAAGAAACTGTAGCTAAATACCTTCAACTTTTTTCTTTCTCTATTTTCTTTACCACTTTCAAAAGGCCAGTTCCCACTCTGACATGAAACTCCCTGGCTACTCTTCAGTTCTATTAATTTTAAAGGTCAACAAATATTCCCTATAGAGAGTACATAGTATCCAGAACAAAATTCTCCAAAGGTGTCTTCACTTAAGTCTTTTCCCACAAAGACGCAACAATTTATTTCAGGACCTTAATAGCCAAAGTCTCTTTAACTGTCAGATCAAAATCCAATCTGAATAAATAACTATATTTCTATGTTTATAAGAAATATAAAATGATAAATAGAAAGTGAAAGCCATTATATCTTCTTCCTTGGTGCAAAGAGCTATATAGACCCAGACCCAATCCATTTAAATGACAATATGACAACATCATATACTAATGCTGGGAGTATCAATTGGTAAGGCCTTCTAGAGGGCATCTGGCATTATATATCCTTAAAAACATGCACACTCTTTGATCAGGTAATTCTGTTTCTGAGACTGTCTTCAGGAAACAACCAGGGAGAAACAAAGAATTATTTTTAAAAATGTTTACTGTAGCTTTATTTTTTATAGTTAATATGTACTTACAAATGGGTAGTGGTTAAGACAAATGGTGTATCTTAAAACAGACTATTATATAACCTTTAAAATGAAGATTTCAAAGAATTTTTATAACTTCGGAAAATGCTTACAGTATAATCTTAAGTAAACTATATACTATCAAAATTATAGGAGCTCTGGTAGCATAGTGCCTAAGGCATTTGACTGCTAACCAGAAGGCTGGCAGTTTAAACCCACCAGCCACTCCTTGGAAGGAATATTGGGCAATCTACTTCCGCAGTAATACTGCCTCAGAAAACAAAGGAGGGGTCACTATGAGTCAGATCTGACTTGATGGCAGTGGGTAATCAAAATTATTATTTTAATTTCATTTAAAATACTATAAACCAAAACCAAACTCACTGTCATCAAGTTGATTCCAACTCACAGTGACCCCTCCTTGGGTTAACAAGATGGTATCTCTACAAAAGTAGATTGCCCAATCTTCCTTCCAAGGAATACTATATACATATGCACATACTGGCATACAGAAAAAAGATTTATGGTTTGGTTATTTCATGCTGCTCTAAGAGAAAATACCACAAATGGGATGGCTTTAACAAACAGGAGTTTATTCTCTTACAATTTGTAGTCTAGAAGTCAGAGTTCAAGGTGCCAGACTCTAGGGGCTGGGTAAAAGCCCTTCAACCTTGGGCTTCAGCTCTGTTTCCTGCCCCGAGTCCACTGAAGCTGGAGGCTTTTCTTCACTAAGGCAGCTGCTGGCTACTAAGGCTGAAAACCCAAGGTCAATAAGTAAAAAGGGACAATCCCAATATTACCAAACAACATGGCAGGCCACTAATTCAAGTCCAGAAAAAGTCCCAAGATCAGCAGGTCACGACAGGCTGCCGAACAATGACTTAGCAACATGCAAGGTTCAAGGATGCCATAAAGCTGGAGACCTTCCTCAAAGTTGCTTCTTATATATACTGGAAGCAGACCACACCCCTAAAGAACTACTCAGCGGCTCCAATAGATTCCACCACGAAGTTAATTACCAATCTCACCATGGGGAATAATTACATCCAGCTGCCCAGCCACTCAAAACCAGGCCCAGCCAAGCTTACACATAACCTTAACTACCATAGACTGTAAAATAAATTACATCAAAAGTTCAACAGAAAGGACTTCTAGCCAAAATGGTGGCTTAGTCAGACACCCTTCATCACCCATCTACAGCAAAGACCCAAAAAACGGAGTGAAACATATACAGAAAACAAGGTGGGAACCCTGAGCATCACACGAAAGGATAAAGAATTTAAAATAAAGAACACTGATTGGAAGAAGAAACTGACTGAAAACAGTGAACAGGAAGAGACAGATCAGAGGGGCCCAGCAGCCAGCCCAGCACAGCATGGCTATCTTGAAACAATGTCAGCAACAATCCTGGATGAGGAACACAAGAGGTGTGCACATGAAATTCCCAACAGAACACAAAGTAACTGTAGGCATACCTAGAATTAAATAAGCCCCAATTGCTGGCTGCAGCCAGTAGGAAGAGCCCAGAGGAGCACACTTCCCCTGCCCCCACCCTTCTGATGATTAGTAGCATAAATCCTACATGCTTGCAGCCCCAATAACCGAGGACCAAGTTATCTCCCTCAACCGTTACCTTCCCCCGCCACCGCTCCCACCCACTGATTCAGCCAAGCTCCTTCTCCATTCCCCAGCATCTGGTGAGAGTCAGTAGTAGGCGTAGCCCATGAACACCTGCCTGCTGCTCCCTTCCCCCTTCCCATCACTTGTCACCCCCACCAACCCAGCAAGAGGAAATGAGTGTGCGACTGCATGCATGCCAGCCCATCACTCACATCTACTGTGTGACAGGTAGTGGCAGTGTAACCATGCACACACCCACCTATCACCCACTGCCTCAACCCAGAGAGAAGTGACACCTGCACTCCTGCTAGCCAGGTATACCTGCCATCTTACTCATTCAGCAAGTAGTACTGCCTGCTCCTGCACCATTGGACCAGTGACTGGCAACAGACAACACCCACCCAACTTGCTCTTAGTACTGCCTGCTCCTGCACCATTGGACCAGTGACTGACAACAGACAACACCCACCCAACTTGCTCTTAGCTGCCCACAAGACCAACAAACAGAGATCTGTGCTCAACCACCTGTTGCTATTCAATCTACCAGACTTGTGGGTAGTGCTCTAGTATAGCCAGCCTAGTGTCCAGAGTAGCACACCCATCCCACCTGTCTGGATAAATAAAAACAAAACATAACAACAAAACAGGATGCAGCAAAGAAACAAAAATAAATATAACAACACCTTAGTGCTTGGAAACAACAGACAATATCAAAGCACCTGAAGAAGCAGAACAAAATAGCTCTAGCAAGGGACCAAAGTAAAGAAAAACGATAACCTACTAAGAAAGAAATGGTAATGGAATTATCTGAAAAGGAATTCAAAACACCTATATACTGGGTCCTCCAACAGATCAAGAAAGAGATTATGGAAAACACAGACAAAACTCCAGAATAATTCAGCTAAACAATACAGGAACAAACTAACAAAACAAACAATTAGAAACCATACAAAATGAGCAAATGGAAATCCAGAAGATTAACACTAAGATTTCAGAAATAGATAATGCACTGAAAGGAAAAAGTAATAGCACTGAATCAATGAAAGTCAGAATCAGTGAAATAGAGGACAGATCCTTTGCTACAAATCTATCAGAGGAATAATCATAAAAAATAATTGAAAAAAAAAAGAAAGAAAGAAAGCCAAAGAGTTATGTGGCATACCATGGAATAATTTACATGTACTTGGAATTCCAGAACAGGAAGAGATGAAAAAAGCACATAGAAAATTTTTGAAGATTCACTGGCAGAAAATTCTCCTAATATTATAAAAAATGAGAATGTATTCATTCAAGAACCACAACAAACCCCAGACAGGGTAGACTCCAAAAGAAAATCACTGAGACATATAACCAAACTTTTCAAAACCGAAAACAAAGAATCCTGAGAGCAGCTCAGGAAAAAAGGAAATGTTACCTACAAAATGGAACTGTGGTAGTTAAGGT